GGATGAGTATATTGTGGAAACGGCAAGACCCCTCCATGTAAGAATCAAAGAGCACTTAAATGGCATGCATAGATCAAGAGAGTCTACCGCCCTAGGAGCCCACCGCATTCAAAACCATAACGGAGATGTTTTTGAGGTCACCGTGGAGGTCGTGGCCCAGGAGTCACAATTGTGTGCGCGGAAATCCCTCGAGGCATTTTGGATACAGGTCACCAATCCAAAAATGAACCGGAGGGAGGAATGCCTCACAATTACGCGGGAACTGAGGCCCTATATAAGGCTAGCCTTCCCACAGTGATTTGACGAAGACCTAGCCCAGCTGACTCTGGTCCCACTCTCGGTTGCTGGGTGATTGCGAGAATCCACGAAGTTACGGTGAGTAGCTCCTTTTTTAGATTACGTGCGCGCCCTGGGGGGTCTCGAACTTCAGTAGGGCTGCAGCGGCGTTTGATCGGATATGCGCAAATTGTTTTGATCTTTTCAGGCTCTGAGGAAGGCGACATCGCCGAAACGTCAGCCAATAAAGTTTTATAACAACCTCGTGAGAGTTGAATACAGAATTATACAAAGCTCAATCATGCCGAGGTTCATTGAAGACCGTACGTGGAGATTAATGGGGACCATTAGTGTGTCAGCTCCATCTACTGGTAGCCCCATGCTCGTCTGCATAGCCGACGATCTCACACATTTTGACTTGAGCTGGTGCCCAGCTTTTTTCAGTAGGCAGGAACCTTCAAAAAATGGGTGAAAAAGCAAACTGACCGTCTCAGGTTAAATTGCACTTCTTGATAAGATCTGTCGATAATACTGTTGGCTTCGTGGACGCTCATATTCTGCAAGTAAAATCTCAACAGTAGAAAATATAAAGGATAAAGGATAAAGTTTTGGCGTTAATCAATCCCGTCTGAGGGATGCGCCCCCGCACTCGACTTCCATTCAGAATCGTAGTGGCGTAGTGAGTGCGTATGTGGCCTATACAATGACTTGCGGTGGTCAGCCGATGTACAAGTCAGTGCTTTTATCCTCCCAGACGAGTCTGGTACCAATTCACCGACCCCGGAGGAATGGAAGACTTGGTTGGCCTAGGTGTGCATCGATCCGGGATTCGAACCCCTGACCGTGCGTTTGATACATATAGTGCGCCACTTGCCACTAGACCACCTCCGCCACAGTGGAAAATATATTTTGGATATTTGTTCATATTTTCTCACCTTAGCATCTCTTCCACAAATTGAATCCACTTCATCATTTGGTCTCATTCCAGCTTTGTCCGAGAGGGAGTCGGTTTCCACCTAAACACTCGTGAGTATGGATTTTGAAACTTCTCAAATCGATTTTTTGATTGATAAATTGATTATTCACACTCGAGTTGGTAGTCATGGAACCTCTTGGCATGTTTACATATCTAAGAATAGACTGCCGGCAACAACTGACATGTTGCCGCTCCGATAGCTCATGCTTTCTTCTTCACCAGCGTGCTAGCTTTCGGAGAGTATTCGATAGGTACAGCACTTTAAAGTAGTTCTTTATATTCCAGAACTCATTCCCAGGAAAGAACCCAGATAGGGCCACAAGTCGATGGATCACAGAATTCCCAATGATATCTTGAGAACAAGAACTCTAAAAAAACATTATAGGCATTTCGATTAGGATCAGGTTCAGCTCAGAGTTGGCAGCAGACTTTGGTAAAATCATGTATTCATGTTATCAGACATCTATGATTCTACTATTAAAAACGGGTGGAAGGCCATCATAGCCGCTCTTGTCAATGAACCAGTTCTTTTCAGAGCTTCTCACGTCTTATATTTTTGATATTCCCAGGTTCAAGATAACTTTGATAGTAATTCTTTGATAGAGCCATTATAATATCTTAGGATACCTGAAGCCCCAGGGTAATTGTTCAATCTGGATCGCTTTGTTTTCGACAATGGCCGGAGTTGTTAAAAACTCAACAAAAGAAACACACCTGTTGTAAAGGCTCAACAGCAGCACTGCATATCAATAGTATGAAGAAAGGGGATTGGAAACAAAAGAATCCTGGAGCGGCTCTAGTGTTTGCAGTGGGAAGGGGTTCAATCTAAGCCACCACTTTGCACTGGATTCAGCAATAGTCTCACGTCACATTACGTTACTCACAGTAGGCAATACTGCTTACTTTTTGTATTGTTTCTATGTGTTCAATGCGACCTTACGCTGTCCAAGACTGATTTCATAAAACCGCTCATTCAGTAAGGTGATAAACGATGGCTAGTGAGAGCTTTGGCGCGGTCCTTCATTACATACATACTAATGGGGATACTGTACCCCTTCTTCTTACAATGCACGAAGTAAAACAGTTATTCATGCCAAAACATCGTTTAATTCATTGAAAATTGCTTTTAACTGCGAAACTTACTGTAGCCACGGCGAGCTTGGCTCCTTGTTGTCGCAACGTGAATCCCCATCTGATTTTCGGATCGCTGCGATTCATTCGCACCGAGATCGTCTCGTACGACATCCTAAAACGTCATGTTCGAAAGAAAATAAGAAAACATTTTTCTGTGGTCAGTTGTCTGCTAAAACCTGCAAGTTATGAAGGGAAATCCCATGTTTAACTGAACTTTTCTGTACGGTAGATTAACTTTTACCTGGTCACTGGATTCATTCATGCAGGCTTCCCTTCTAGAATGAGCTCCGAGAAGAGCCTTTCATAGCCTGCTACCGTTCAGTTTGAGCCCAATAACATATGGGATTCTTGGATGAGTGCTTATTAGAGTTTGCTAGCATTTGTTGGAATTTGACCACAGTTCAATCGGGTAACTAAGGAGTTGAAGCCTGGCGCGTGATTGAAAACTTGGCTTTTCATTTTTACGCAACGCTATAGAAATGGAATAGCCTGGTGTCAGAAAAAAGGAAAAGCCCTCATATCCACTGAATGATATACTCCTGTATTTACCCGATCTGATGGGTTACTATCGTCGATTTAAATCACTTTCAGAAGCTCATTCTAGGAGAAGCCTTTCCGCCTCATTCTAGAGGGAGCCTTTCCGCTTCCGAATATAGTGGCATCGGTCTCGAATACACAAGTCACTGCTGACTAGTAGCAGCTTTTAGACTCATCCTTGTTTTAGCCGTTTTTTCCCGACTTAAACACAGTTTTTGCCAAGTGCGAAGATTGTGGTGAAGTTGTGAAAAAATGAAAGAAGAAAAATAAGTACAGCGGACTTTGAGGAGATGAACATTTCAAACGGCAACGGTGCTCACTACTGCCACGAATTGCATTTTTCAACGAAAGCTTCTATAAGGTGGGAATTAAATTTAGAGTGTGCTGAAATGCTTTAAAGGCTGGACAAAAAACAAGCTTAATCGAAAGGAAGGTCTTTCAGCATGAAGACTAACAACGTAGTGGTCTTTAAAGATTGTTAAAAGCTATGGTAGGAAGGAATTATATCAAAATTCCAAAATCTCACGTTGGCCTCAGCATGATGGAAGGAGATGTGGACTGCGAGAACTCAACGAGTCGGAATAAGAAGACATGTGCAGTTTATGAGATGAGAGCAGGCATTTTCGCCACAACTTCTCTGTGTAAACTGCCTGGCTCTACGGCAGCACAGCTGATGCTACGAAAACATCTACGAGACATTCTCATCGGATGGCTAAACTAATAAAAAATAATACATTACTTTGGAGGCTAAGACAATGCCAACGCTGACCAACTGCTAAAAGGGTAATGCAGAAAACCGCTAAGCAAAGGACGGAGGCATTCCCCTGCATACGAAATATATGAAGGCTGCTACGGTAACTTCGACCTCAAAAGTAGATGTGGTCCCACCTAGTGCTTTAAAAGGGCTCGCTTCTCGGCAGATAGAGTATGACGAAGTAGTTAATGAGCTTTTTTTCTGCCTTTTGTTTTTTTTTTTTTTTTTTGGGTTCTAGTTGGAC